CCCCTTTAAGTTGGATTCTGGGGATCAAAGCCTAGAACTTGGCAGAGCCAACAAGTTTTAGAGCATGTCTGATCCTTTTTGGTCAGTGTAAACTAAGAACTGACTTCTCACGGTAGAGTGACTCAAGTGAGTATTGGTCACCATATCCTGGAGAGGTGCACTTGTAACTACGATATCTGGAACTGAGTCCAAGTCCTCACGAGATGTTTCATACAATCATATCATTATGCAAATAACTACACTAACATCACATCCTCGTATCATCACAGTCAGTTAATAACTGACAAACAATTAGAGATTATAAAATGACATAAAATTATCAAATTGTTCAATCACAAACTAGAAACAATATTTAGAGAGGAGAGGAGCACTTGTAAATAAGATGTTTATTGCTCAACTACTAGGCACGGAACTGAGTCCAAATACTCACCAGATGTTCCATACAATGTATCAAAATTATTATGCAAATAACTAAACTAAACGTCATCGCCTCCAATCATCAGTCAGTTATTAACTGACAAACAAATAGAGATTACTGAATCACAACTCTATGATACAGCATCATATTTACATATGTTTTTGATATTTTGGCCAAACAGGAAGTGATGAACAAATATCACGATCACAAGTAAAGTAGTTGTTTTGTCCATTTGGAATAAAAATTTTCAAAAAAAGCTAAATGTAGCTAAATAGATATATTTACTCCATAATGTTACTACAAATACACATGGTGGAATTTGATATGTTGACAAAATCATACAATAAACAAGCTTCTCTCTGATTGGTCTGACAGCTATTGATTATTGTTTCACAGCCAATCAGGCACAATATTGGAAATAGCTTGCCAGCAAGAATTATGGCATACAATCAATTTAAAAGTTGAAGGCAATTGGTGTATGTCGTGTATGTTGCTCAACGGCTATTGTACAAAAGATTAGTGCTGTATATGCCACAACTTTTCGTTTAAATTTGTACTTTTAAATGAAATATCGCCAAACAACCACACAAAGTTGTCAATGGAATAATAAACATATGTATGCCTAACACCAAAGCATTGGAAATAGTGGTTAGTTGAAATTCCATTTTTAACCAAAAATGACAAAAATATTTGCCAAAATTAGAGAATTAAAGATATGGCCATGGGATGAACAAATCTAGTAGATGTCAACACAAGGTACATACACACCAAGTATCAAAGCATTCAGACTACCAGTTTTGAAGGAGAAGTCGAAAATAGAATTTTTGACCCAAAATGACCATTTTAAAATAGTCTGAACTGAAATCAGGTCGGGTCGTAACAGCCGTTTTTTTTTCATTATTTTTCGCCTTAAGTTTCTACCTTTCTAATGTCGATGGGTCCCGAAACTATTTCATCAATTATTTTGATGGCAATAATCCGAAATTGGTCGATTTCATGACAGATAGATAGATAGACGGACGACAGACGCAGGACAGAAACCCATTCCAAAAATGGAAGGCCTTACCTAAATTTTTCTTGTGTGATAGTTTTTATGGTGTTCTTGTCTTTAGGTCCCATGACAACGTGAGAGACACTCGGCAACAATTGTTTGAATCTTGATCCACCACCAATATTGATAATTCTCTGTAGCTTATCCATCTCTTCATTTGTGAATCCACACAAATATATCTAGGAATTAAGATAATCCATAAATCAGATTAAAAGTGTTGGGATTTGAGACAACATGAGATCGCTGTCCAATGATCACACAGCTTTGTATCAGAATGAAAAACCTTTCCATAAACATATTTACTGAAAAAATAAATGTGAAGGTCTTGCATTTTTGCAGAAAAGTAACTGATGATTCTTTGATTCACCATTTTCCGAATCTACTTGAAATTAACAATTCAGAATGACAGTGAATCTTTGTGAATCCATGTACAATCAAATGGGGAGCCAAAACAATTGCCAACATTCGAAATTTTAATTTAAATTTTATAAAGATATAATCCCCAGTTAGAACAAAAATCAGACTATACCATGTGAATATGAAATATCTCAACACATTAAAGTTGATTCAGAGTAGTTAGTAATTAGGGTAGAGTTAGGGTGAGCAAGGTAGGATGGAATTCACAAAGTTTAACTTCACTAAGACAGTACAGCCATCATTCACATGAAATATCCAGTTGATAAAAATTAAAGCGAGAGGGTCGTCACCTGCGTCGATAACAACACATGCTAAAAACGCAAAAGGCTCATGGGTAGATGCTTGTTTGTAAACAATGACACGCTATGATCATTTGAGGCATTCGCAGGCGACGACTCCCCCGCTTTAAAATGAAATTTGTGATATGCAATGAAGATCCCAATATGAACTTAAGGTATGTGAATTGTTAAATAATTAAAAAAAATCAAATTCTCCTCACTTGGTAGTATTTCCTAAATTTTAAAATGTCTTCAAACAATTTTATAACATATCTTGCATACTTTCTAAAAGACAAATTTACTATAAATAACAATTTATCAATAGACTTTATTTGCTGCAGAAATCTCAAATTACAATTGGAAGCAGTAGACATTATGATGTTCACCTTTTCATCACAAATTCACAAAATAGTCTACACTTTCCTACAGAATGTTGGGACAAAAATAGCAAAATATTTTAAGTGAATACTTGAAATTGATTCAAATTTTGTCTGTTGGTTCCAAAATCAGGGTTCATTTCCAGAAACAATAGAGCACTATTAAAGGGGGGAGGGTCAGAGAACATGTACAAATGATGTATATTGTTTAAAAAAAAATTGCAAAGACTATGGTATAATATTGGTTATTAATGCTGCTTTAAAACAATAATACCCCCAAAAAGTGCCTGGATGTGTGATCTTCAAGTGCCAGGATGTGTGACCTTCAAGTGCCAGGATGTATGACCTTCAAGTGCCAGGATGTGTGACCTTTGGGTCATTTCTACAAATGTGTTATGCATAAAAATTGAATAAATCCAGCTGAGTAAACCATACCTTGCATCCATCAAGGAACATATTATCAGTATGTGTAGTGAGATCTAGGGACATCACCGTGTCATTGACCAGTGCTACTGAGCTCACACTGATATTACTGATGTCTGCCATTCCCATACTGTCAGTACTAGACACTGTAAAATAAATTAGATACTTAATTAAAACGTTAAGCAATATCGTTTTAATTCACCAATATTTTGCACATTTTCTATGATCTATTGAAATTTATTTCAAAAGCTATTTGATTACCATAGTCAACTTCAGGCATCATCCACAAAATAGATTCATTCTTAGTCTATTTTCCCACATAAATGCGAAAATTTCAAATCAGAAACAAGAAGCAATCCAAAATTATGATTGAATTCACTGAAAATTTCAGAAAACTAGGGGGGGTGGTCAATAGAGAAAATACAGAAATTTACAATTAGCTTCAGGCAGTGATCAAAATGTAAAAAAAAAAAAATATATTTTGGTAAAAAGTGAATAAAGTTGACACATGGTGCTCAAAGGTTAAAAATCACCTCAGGCTGCATCCACTGCAATTTTTGTTATAAGGTGACCAAATATAAAAACTGAACACCATTTTCATCGATGTTGGATATATGTTTTGTGCAAAAACTAGTTTGGGATCATACATTTTTATCAGGGTTTTGTGAACAAACATAAATTATCTTCATTTATGCTGAAGAGAACTTGTGCTACTCCCTGGAGAAAGAGTTCTTTTTGTACCCCCCCCCCCCCCATCCCTAACACTCACTCCCACTTTAGATGCCCCCTATAGATAACTATAGATGTCCTTAGGAGGGGCATGTACAATTAAATGGGAGTGCTGGAGGGTAGGGATGGGGGTTGAAAGCCTTACATGACTTTGACTGGAATTGTAGCTGCTAAATATTAACCAAGTTTTTTTTTTTTTGTGCAAGGAGACAAACGTAAAACTAAAACTCACGTTTCACTTGACGTGACATTCGTTTCGGCGTTGACGTTGGTCTGACAAATTCCACATTTTCACCGTTTTCTTTCTCAACTGGATACAATGTTTCATCTAAACAAGTGTTCTTCGCAACGCTATCATACAACCACTGCAAATGAATTTATCAACAACAGAAGAGGGATTACACATTTATTAAATATCATATTTCAGTTATTAACACATTGTTTGCAGCCACCATTTTTTCACATTCAATTTAGCTTTACATGGATGTCTTAAGCAATTGGCTTAGTCCTCATATACAGAGAAAAACAGAAGTGATCATAAGGCAAGACGGCACGGCCCTCTTTGCTTCGGTCATGTGTTGCCTGACGTGGAAGAAAATCTATGAGGTCATGGGGCTTCCCCTGACCTAGATTTCTCTCTCAGTCGTTGGCTGAATCGCAGATCAATGCCTACAGTTCAAAATAGTAATTTTGACTGACCGGAGTCTATGGTGGGTAATTAAGAACATTTTCACCACCACCAGTTCCCGCTTTACATCACAAATTCACAAAATAACAGATTTTAAGTAAAAAATTGAAAATTGACTAAAATTGTGTATGTTGGCACCAAAATTAGGGTTCATTTCCAGAAATATTGAAGGATATAAGAAAAAAAGTGCAGAACAATTTAGGTGAGAAAGTCTGGTGGTGAAAAGTTTAAAAGATGAGTCGATTCCATACCTTAGATGTGACACATATTATTTTCCATTTCTTTGCAAACACATATTTCTGGCCTGTAAGGAGAAACAATTATTAAACACATAGTTACCAGAATGGAGGTCAATATTTAGTTTTAATGATTCAAATGGAAAATTATTGACCAAGGCACAGTCCTATGAGGGTCATTAAATCTAAATACTGACCCACTATGAGGAAACTATATGTTTCATCATACCAAATAAATAAACACTTAGAGTCATTAATGAGTTTATTCACCTCCATGTGACCACATTCTGACCAATCAAAGTGATGCTCTTAAACATAAGGTATAATAATCAACTTTAAATATTTTTTATCAGTGTTCTCCCTAAAATTCAAATCACTGACGATGCAACTTTCTAATAAACATGCAGACGATGATTTAATGTAACCGAGTAATACATATTTATATGATTTGTTTTTCGCTCACACATATATTACAATGATTTTATTTTTACACGCCAAACCCTGCAACAAATTGATAACTGATTTGGCATGACTACATTTATAAACTGAATATTATACAGATTCAGGGCCTATGGAATGGAATCGAGTAATACTCTCTCAACTGATAATGTACTGTAAATTATTTATTTGCGCTTGGAATTTATTTCCGCTGAACGACGATTCAGTGAAAATATTAAAATCAAGTGAATATTTTTTTTATCCTATATTTTACATTCATCTATCAAAAATCAGTGAAAATAAATTCCATACAAAACACCCAAAAAGTCTTTACATCGAAAAATAATTTCCGAAAAATAAGTATTTTACATCCAAAACTTCCAAATATGGGCAACAGTTTGTTATTATATGTAATAAAGTGAACAAAAACATGACAATACTTACCAGTCGGACTATCAACAATAAGATGCGTACATTTTGTTTGTATTAATTCACCGGAGTAGGTACCACCTTGAAAACAAACAACATCAGAATTTTGTTTTTACAATAATACATTAGTCCATCAGTAATTCACCATAAAATGGTGGAAATCCAAGCTGGCCATGAAATAGCTGCGCTAGCTGGCCATGAAATAGCTAAACACTATCTTGCAAATAAAGTAGTATATGTTATTATCAAAATTGTTTTCTGTAACAATGTCTGAATTCATCAACACAGATATAAGACGGAATGGCCACTGTAATAACAAAATAATCTATTTTACCATTTTCTTCGACAAGTGTAATAATATCTTTTCTTTTTTGTCTGTCCAATCCAGTTACACAGACTACACATCCTTTGAAAGGAGGGCATATAAACTCAGAGAATTCCTCGTCTGTGGCTTGGATGTAGTATCTGAAAGTGAAATAAACACACAGGAAAACAAATAATCTTTAAAGAGTGCCCTTAACAATTTGTGTAAACTTTTTTCAAGAAGATATTCTGATAAATCTTTCCTGTGATTACTCTGTCATTAGTAAATGTTGGGATTTTTTTCTTCAAAATTAACTAAGAAAAATAAATAACAAATTATTGCTAAGACGCACACCGCTACCACTACATCATGTATTCCTATGGGCTCTGCATGAGCTGTTGTGGAATGCCGATCGAAGAGCTGATGGAAACAGGTGAAGTCGAGAAAACAACACAAACTCAACTATGAAGTAATCCTGAACAACCAAATTTATATATGTTGCACATGTAGGGGTAATCTTGTTACACTGTTCAGGAGAGTCTCAACAATTAGGCTAGTGGTTTATCCATGCCACTTAGGATTATGGGTAATTACAGACACTATGTTAGTCATAGCAACATTATTGGAAACTGTAAACTGTTTTTCATGAGTCAGATAAAACTAAATGCTGAACCAACAAATATTTCACTGGAAATTACTTTTTTTTAAATACAAAGTTGATAAATCTGCCTACCTTGTTTTACTTCTCTCCCAGGATGCCTCAACCCACTCTGGTAACATAACAGGTTTCCCTAAATTTACTGCCACCTGACAAAAAAAGTGAAGCCACACAGTTACATCACTGTTACGTCATGAATATTCATGACATTGATTATCAGCTTATGAATATTGATGACATTGATTATCAACCTATGAATATTCATGAAATGTATTATCAACCTATGAATATTCATGAAATGTATTATCAACCTATGAATATTCATGAAATGTATTATCAACCTATGAATATTCATGAAATGTATTATCAACCTATGAATATTCATGAAATGTATTATCAACCTATGAATATTCATGAAATGTATTATCAACCTATGAATATTCATGAAATGTATTATCAACCTATGAATATTCATGAAATTGATTATCAACCTATGAATATTCATGAAATGTATTATCAACCTATGAATATTCATGAAATGTATTATCAACCTATGAATATTCATGAAATGTATTATCAACCTATGAATATTCATGAAATTTATTATCAACCTATG